CAAGGATTTCTTGTTCACCAATAATAGTTTTTCCTGTATTATCCACTATAGTATTAGCAGCCTTTTTGTTATATAAGCCAGCAACTTCCCCAACTTTCTTGTACATGTTGAACATATCATGTTTTTTTTCAAATTCTTCCATTTCAGCACATCTATTCGTCATCCACTTCTCCTTAGCCGCTCGTATTTTTTTTTTTATTTCTCTTTGTTTCCTTAGTTTAGCAACGTGTTGCCTTTTATATATATAGTTTTTCGCGAGAATACTTTCACTGAGTGACGTGTGAGACCAACATTAGAATTGACAAACCTCAAAATTCAAGCCCGGAAATGTCGGAAGGGGTTCACAGCCATAGGTAATTAAAACGACATTTTCCGCACCCTAGACTGGTGGATATTTGCGTATTTTAGAGTATTTCAATGAAGTTGACTGACTGATGTCAAGGCATCAAGTTTACTTATATACATAACTCGGAGATCCAAAATAATTTGCTAGAATCTTAGTTGAATACAGCCATATTCTTCACCTCGGAGCGTAATTAATATACATTGCCACTATGTGCATTTTTTTGCATTATTATCATGTAAAAAAAAACAAAAATTGACTAAGCCGAGTTTTAAATTGTAATGCCCCGTAAGTATTTGAGACGGCAAAACTGCGTCTATTTGTTATAGTTTTACATTTCACCATTTGACAGTTTAATTTCCTGAAGAGAACAAACTTTAGCCTGAGTATTAAGTACGGAAAACTTTAGCAACTGTTACACCTTAGATTATTTCAAAACAAAAAATACAAGTTCATTGGAAACCAGCGTGTTTAATATTAAGAACCCACTCTCAATTTTTAGGTGTTCATTTAAAATGACCGACAACTCCAAAACTAAGGTGTCTTTATACTAATGCAACGTAACAAAGTTTTAAGTTGTTTGAAGGGCAAAAAGGGACTCCAAGTTGACCTTCCAGGATCATATAAGATCAAGGACCAGGTCGGCCGGACTGAGGCACGGTATTGGGCTAAAGGAGATGCTGACCTTCTATAGGAGGGGCGGCATTCTGGACGCCCTCTAGCGCGGTCTGGGGGCACAACGGGCCCATCTGGTGGCCTGAGTTCTTGGACGCCCGCGGGAGCGCCCCCTTTAATACCAATACCAAGGGCAAACAAATCGTTTAGATACTTAAATTTGGGTAAAATTGATCCAAACTTAGGGGCAATATAAGTAACGAGTGACTCCTAGTGGATATTATTATGTACCAAAAATTCCTAAGTATTTAATTATTATTGTTGATGGTTTATAAGTACTTATTTAATTTTATCAAAAAATCTGCATTAGTCTTTCAAAATCGACTGTGAGAAGAGAAACAAACCAATTTTTTAAAATCTAACTTCAATCTGAAATTAACCAAATTCAACAACAACAGATATTCAAGTTAACAGATCTTGAACTTATAGAATTAATTTTAGTCAACTAGATCTTCCAGAAAGTAATAGATCTCTTGTACTGCTGTCATAAATGGTATTCTATCTGTTTCATTTGCCATGTTCTTGTTATTAAAATTAAATTATTAATGTACTATTAACAATACTGTTAATCAAACTAAATTAGTATTTAATTAAGTGCATTTGTGATTGTTTTATTACAATCGTCATCTTAACAACTTTGACCATTTACTGGTGCCAAAGTACATCTTGGTTGTTGCAATCTTAAAAGCTCCATTGGCATTAACATTAAAGTAACAAGGAAATTCCGTCACATAGAATATCAATATCGATGCTAATTCTCGTCTAGTATGAATGATGCATTCGGAGGGCCTACGTGTTATGAATATTTGACGAAAAATTTGAATAGTTTAGGAAATTCGATCAAAATCAGGTAAAATATTTACTTCCAGCTCTGGTTTAATATGTGTAGTTATACGGAACTTGGAAAAATTACAGAGACTACTATACTGGGTGTGCTAGATAAGCGTTATTAATTTATTGAGGCACGTTTCCCAAGCTGTTTCCAAGTTTCTTTTCTTAAAATTAGATTTTCGGCCCTAAAAATAAAAATTGGCAATTTCCGATTTCAGGTTTACTCGGCTATCGAAAAATATTCATCAAGTATGTTATTTAAATTTCAGCAGTTAATTAAGCGGGAAATTGAAGTAGACGCTGTTGGAATATTTTTAATGAAATTCACAACACCCCGTTGTGCATTTTCCATCGGGTTTTCAATTTACCAAACAGTAAAAAAGCATCAACTGCCTGTAGATATAAACTCGATAAAATGTTAAAAGCCAAATGACGCGTTCCAGTTTGGCCGCGCGATAATGGTCTTGGCAAAAATGCACCAAAATGCACGCCACGCTGTAATTATGCTGGGCTTAAAATGATTTATCGGCACTACACAATGCCTTGAAAAAAACATATCGAAAATAGAGGACGCGAAAAGCAATCGCATTTAACTTTTGATACAAGCACCATGCTGCGAATGGCTAAATGTGCCTCGTCGCATTTGAATAATTACGAACGATCGCTGCTTGAAGTCAGTTTGTTTTAAAGGAGATGACGCGGTTAAATTAGTAGCTACTGAATAATTTGTCTATTCGAACGTGTCGACTAAAGTAACATCTTTCTTCGCATCGACAAGTGTGAGAGAGTATAATGGGTTGCCTAGTTAGAGTACAACATTATTAGGTTCAAGTAATTCAGCTGAACAGTTATTTTCCCTTGTATCTAAAAAATACGTCCTGAAAAATGCGTAGATGATTTTGCATCGTCATCATGTATTTTTAACTTTTATTTGTACCTTCGAAATATATAATTTGTGTTGGAATATCCTCCTCATTTAAAATTGTCAATTGTCATAAATTGTTGTTTTAGTAGAAAACGTTGCATAATTATTTGTTTAACTGCGAGTTCGAATTTACTTTCATCAGCAATTAGCACGTAAAATCGAACTTAAAATATCGGAAAATATCGACAATATTCAACCCGGTATTTGCATCAGGCAATGCGGCCAGCTTGGTATTTTTATAAACCGTCACTCGCAGAGATTTAAACTGGCGATTATTTGCACGGAAACTTCTTACTACCACTTTCCTAAGTTTCCCTTTGAAATAATTAACACGAACAAGCCAAAACAGTTACTATTAAATTTAAAAGGCTGGAAACGCCAATAAACGATAACACGATTTCATCAGCTTTTGCAAAACTTTAGTCCCCATAACAGTTTCACTGGTCACAACAAAATTTTATTATTTCCTGGAAAAATGTTTTATTAATTTAGTTGAATGTTTCCGTGAACTTAGCCTATCCTTGGCTCGAATGTTAATGTTACATTGATTTATCTAAATTGATCTTAGTAGTCATTTAATTCGTCAATAAGTGAAATTTATTTTGCTTCTGGTTCTTTTCAGATGACTCTAACATATTAATCGACGTAATATTACTACTACCACTTATAATCTAATATGTTAAAATGTAGTCTAATACTGAATAGGAGATTTTAAAACCGTTAACACAAGTAAATAGCAAACGGATACAATCTCTTTAAAAGCTTGATACGAGGCGAGATAAATCGGAAATCAATCGGACGAAACCAACAGAATGTTCGAATCTAACCTATTCTGACGTAGATCCGCTTTACGGCCATTTATACATTGGAATAGAAGATATAAAAAAGAATGTCTTATATGTGTGCCGGAAATTACATTAAATGTCGCGTTTTGCCTTCAAAAGAAAACGGACATTTTGGAGAACGCTTCTTTCCGCAATTCGGAACTGTTAGAGATGATTTTGGAAATGTACTTAGTGATCCATTGTAAATGTTATCCCCATATAACTTTTTATTTTAAAGTTTAGAAAAAAAGGTTTAATACAAAAGTTGTGGTGTTTAATGTGTGTATTTATTAGTAGGTACTTATTTACATACAATATGTGCCACAACAGCATAGTATACCAAAGTAATTTTTCTTTAAATAAAAAAATTCTATTTTCGAATTTTTATCATTTTTTATGTGCAACGAAAATATTTCGAATTTGTCCTCAAGTAAAAACATAATTATTTTATCGAATTTTAAACAATAATAATATTCAAGATAATTTCACCAAAGGCGTTGATGCATGATGCATGATGATGCATGGCCAACTAAGTGACGATTTCATTTTGGCCAAGTTTTGCCTTAATGTCAAAAGTAACTATAATACGTAACACTTAAGAATACCTTTACTAATATACAGGGGTACCAATTTAAAAAAATATAATTTTTATCTACTGCACTTTTTTGGCACACATGTTGTATTAAACCTATCCATTTAACCTTACAACATTATGTTTTTTTTTTCTAAAATGTGAAATGAAAATTTTATAGAAAGGTAACATTTGTAAAGAATCACCCTGTACAGGATGTTCGTTTATGCTTTGATTCCCACCTACAGTTTATTAAATTGAAGAGGCACATAGAAGTATTGTGACTTTTTCTCTATTATAGTCGGAATGTATCAATAAAACCAAATGAGGTTTGTAACCGGCAGTTAGTTGTTGGTTTGGTTAAAATTAATATTTTTAAAAAAGTCTTTAATTTTTTATGTTATTTTTCGACCATCATTTCTATTTATTAATATGTTCAGATAATAATGAAGAAATATCATACAACTTTCATAAAAAACGTTTTTATCTCACTCTTTTAATAAATTTTGTAGGTTGAATTGAAAGACGCAACAAAATTAAAGTTAGTATTTTGTACATTATGCAGCTAACGTTTTTTTATTAGTCCAAGCGACTTTGCGACCCGCACCCGTTTGTTGCCAATTTGGTGGATGCGCAAATATTGAATTTTAACAGTAAGTGTTACGCAATATTTATGATTAATTCAGTCGAAACATTTATATTTTTCATATGTTATAAAATATTGAAACAATGAATTCGGTGGTAAGACCATAAAACTGAAACTCCAATTTCAATTAGAAGTTAACATTGCGACGGCTCGTGAAAATTTGGTTAAGCGATTTAAGGGCTTACTTGAGCATTAATGGCGCTGAGATGTATCTGGGCCACTTTCAGGTCGAACCTCTTCATCGAAATATCTTCCTGCAGTTCATTCGCCTTATTGAATAGAGACGCCTCTAAGGATCTCTGTTGTATTCTCAGTAGTGTATCCATCGCCTCTTGGATCTGTCTTATCTGCGCTTTGAGATCGTCGGATTCCTTTTTGAGGGCATCATGAGATGGTTTGATCTGGACGGCCGAAAGCTGGTCTATTACTAATTCGTCTTTCAGAGGCGGAGGGATGTTATCCTGAAAAAGATCGAATTTTGCGATAAGAACGGCAATGGAAGGTCGTCTCATAGACTCGAGAAAATCACTACCGTATTATAGAGTTAAATTCGAACTTGGTATAATAGGGTAAAAGGAAAATGGGTAAATTTGTTATGCGGAGTTTTTGTGCTTTTAATTCGCTATTTCACCATATATTTTTGAGGTTTTTATAAAACGCAAATGAAAGTAATGCAGTATAATGAAAACGTCCATTTGCCCTGAGCCGTTAAAATTTTAATGTTAATCGAAAATCAAAATCCGCATCACACATCTACTTTAAAAAGCATCAAATTACGTTCAAATCTGCCGTTTTTGACCTCAATTCGTAACCCACAATGTAAATCAATTGAATTAAAATTTAGTTGCAAACCGTCAAATGAACCGGCTAAGCTTGAACAATAATTCATCTATTTTAATTCCAAAATATTAATATTATACAATAATGAGATAAATGCAGAGCCGCACTGAAAAACAAGTACGATTTAGAACGTGAAGTTAATTAATAATTATTTTGTTTCATTTGTCTTTGTCTCCTTTATTCTGTTGATGGTTTTAATTTTGCTTGTTTTAATGCTTTTTATTTAATTATTTGAATATCGTTTTTTATTCTACATTGGGAAAAAGCAATGAGGATGTTTTTAAATTTTGCTATAAATTGTTAGTTTTAGATGAATCGTTTAAAATTAAATATCAAAAGTTCACAATAGGTATGCATATTAAGGATAATTACTTGCTTGAAAAACTTAACAAAAACAATATGGTGATTAATTACCAAATAACACATAACCATAGGTTCAAAATCCCGTAATGGAAGGGAATGTTGGAAAATTCATCAGCGTGGGGCACACTTTAAATTAATATTTGGGTGAGTCTCTGTTCCGTTTACGTTTCCAATAAGTAGATTGTTTGCTTGAACACTCGCAGCCCGAAATTTTAATTGAAATATTCTGGCAATTATTAATGACGGATCCGTAGTAACTAAACAAGCAAATCCGAACGACGCACAGGGTCGTATTTCGAGGGAAATTGATTATTGCGCAATAATACCATCAATTAATCCGTTTCTTGACTGATTCCTCTTACACGTTTGGGTAACATTGATTGAAAATAAACGATAACCCTACTAAATTCCTGGGAAAATCAACTTCAAAGAATTCAATCATTCAGGTAATGTGGTGAAATACCAAACCAGCCATGAATACATTTTTGGCGAACATATTTATTAAACTGAGTTTAAAGTCCAGTTGCAAAATAATTATATTAAAAGAAACGACGACAATCACGTTCCACGTTTAGAAAGGTTACAGCTCTGAGTTTATGCTGTGCTTTAGGTGTAGCTTTTTTTTTTAAATAACTGTTTAATTAATGTTTAGAAAAAATACACCTCCCTAATCGCAAAAATCGCAGAATTACCAAAAGAAAACCAAATTCGAAATGTTAAAAAACTCAAAGTTGACATCTCTGATAGATCACTATTTTGATGCATCTTAGTAAAATGGTCCAATAATGAATAGTAGTAATGGCAGTGATTTTTTTAAAAACTATAAGGATTCAATTAAAAATTAAAAAAAGTCAATGTGTCAAAAATTATTATTTCTAATTTCTCCAATTTTTCCAATTTTTGGGCATTCATGTAAAACAATGACATTTTTATTGGGGAAAGAGTTATGTTCCGTGCACAAAAGATAGGTAGTTAAAGCAGATATTTGGTTTCTGTCACCTCAGTGTCCTTGAACTTTTTTACCAAATTGAGATGGTCGTGAACCCTAACGGAGATCTTCCTGCCAGACTGTCCCATACAAATTGCATTACAATCCTCACAGTTCAAAGAATATTGGAATATTGGATTGGATCCTTAACTTTTAATAAATAAATTTGTAAAATGATTTGTTGGTTGAACAAAATGGATATCGTTATTGAATGGAATTTGTCTAATCTTTGTAAATTCCTTATTAAATGCCTCCTTTGAAAGTTTAATGTTAAAAACCCTGGTAGAATAAAGAATTTATGAGAATATGGGGAATTTGAGGAAAATTGTATCGCATTGTCAGTAGATGTCAATTTCCACCAAAGAGAATCTAATTCATTATTAAAGCAATTATCATATTATCTATAAATAAATTTAGTTTTAAACAATTCAATTCGATAATTTAGAAACAAGCTCAAAAACATATTAATATATAAAGACAACTTAAGGATGAGTTCTATAGTTACCTGTTTTAATCTTGTTATTGTTTGTTTTATGTAAATGTATTGTATTTTATTTTCGTGTAATTTATACCATTGTCACATTCAGATACGGAACTTAATTATAAAAACTCATAAATTGTGCATTCGCTCATTGGATTAGTTTATAGGTGTAAATTTTGTTGGTTTTGTGCCTTTAATCTTCCTAGCCAGGAGAGTAATTTTTATTTTTGACAACTTCATTAGTTTTGGCTAGTTGGTTAAATATTGCTTTACTTATAATCAGACCCTGTCGCCCGCTCATACTGAATCACATTACTCACATCATAAATGTTAGTTTAGAGACTGGGTACTTTTCATCCATATGGAAAACAGCAATAGTTTTCCCAATTCCGAAGGTTGCTTCTCCATCTAGCGTCAATGATCTTATACCAATCAGCCTATTACATGTGCTTAGTACGGTGTTGAAGAAGGTTGTTTATCAGCAAGTACTTTCGTATACAACTAGTCATAATATAAATCCGTCAAACCATTCGGGTTTTCGTCCAAAACATAGCACGCTTGCTGCTTTACTACATCATATCAATGATCTAATAATAAAAAAATTAGATAAAAATATTTCAACGATACTGGTCTTCCTTGAATTTTCAAAGGCATTCGTTTGCGTGAATTACGAGTTATTCTGCGCGAAACTAAAGCATTTAGGTTTCACGGATCGATCTGTATCTTTTTCCAGTCGTATTTAAATAATAGGTAGCAGTTCGTTAGGACTAATATCGGTATATCAGATTTGGGTAACGTTACTTCGGGAATGCCGCGGGTTTCCATTCTTGGACCTCTATTGAGTCTCTGGTACACATTTGATATGTCAAAGCAAGTCAAATTTTGTCAAATTCATTCATATGCTGATTACACCCAGCTATTACACCCATTTAACTCAGCTAAGTATGATAATCTTAAGGCTAATGTTAATTTGGATCTTAAAAGTCTTTTTCAGTATAGTAAAAAACACAACCTTAAGCTAAATTCTAAAAATTTACAAATTATGCTATTTGCTCATTCTAGAAGCTGTAATTTTTTGCGTGACCATATTAAAATTCAATTGGAAAATGAAAATCTTAAATTTACAAATGAAGCAAAAACTTAGGAATGAATGAATGAATGAATGAATGGTCGATTGAGATATAGTGGCCACATTTCTAATTTTTATAAAAAGACATATATCCCTCAAAACGCTATGTGCAAATAAACATATATTGAATTTTAAAGTACGAAACAACTCTTTGAGGCATGTATCCTTTTTAAAGTTATTTACTGTCTTCTATTATACTATCCATTCTTAACCGTTGCTGATAAATTCAGATTAAAGAAAATCCAGAACAGCTGTGCCCTATGGTTTCAGAAAGTTTGATCGTATATCAGAAAAAACATTTTCCATGGAATGGCTTAAAATTAAATGTCTGTTTCAATTTTTACTCGCAATTCTTGTATTTAAGGTCATGAAGTATTCTTTACCAACGAATCTCAAAGATTGTCTAGTGTCTAAGGACGAAAACCATTCTAGATATGCCCCAGCATAATTCTTGTGAATTTGAATGCTTTTTTAGCTATAGTGCCATTAACCTTTATAATAATTATAATAAATATTTTGAATCCAGCTCAGTCCTAATATTTAGGAAGAAATTTAAGCTCCACTTATTGGAATTACAAAAGTGTTTGTCGTAAACAAATTAGTATTTTAGCAATAATGCATTTTTAGACTCTTATTATTATTAGTATTATTATTATAGCTTCTTGCTTCATTATTATTGTAATATTCGGTTAATATTGAGTAGCTGAGATCAAGATCTTAAACTACACTTCGTCGCTATATTAGTGTAACTATATTAGTTTGTATTAAGTGATTTTGTTAAAAAATTTATACTAATACTATTATTCTTATATCTTTTTTTTCCGTTACCACAGGTAAGTACTTTGGAGACTGCTTTCAGTAAGTGCCCAAATAGTTTTGTGATGTTAAATCTGTTTTGTTTTCAGGAATTTACATTCAAGACCCTCCGAGCAATGTGGCATGTTGCCAGTATGGCCGCCTTCTGAAGTTTTAGGGGTATTTCATTAGTTGCTCCCACAATTATTCTTCGGCGGCGAGTGGCATGTATCTTCGGACTTTCTCAATCTATGTTTCCAGGACGTTATGGGCAGCCGATACAGCAATATCTATCAGGTACGTAATTTTGTTGAGTTTGTCTTGTACCACAATGTCTGGCTGGTTGTGTTCGATGGTGTGATCTGTTAGTATGGTTCTGTTCCAGTATATTTTGTGGGTTACACTTTCAGTAACAGGTTCTTTTGTGTAGGCATGGCAAGGAGGGGTCTTCATTAAAACACCAATTCTTGGGGCTATTTCCTGGTGTACTACTTTAGTTATGTTATCGCGCTTTCTGAGGTATAGCGATTATGTATCCTATGGTTTCCGATTTGGTGTGGCACATTCTGCACTTGTCATCTTGTACGTCTGGATCTCCTATTATGTACTTGCGGTAGTTTATGTCGGTATTACTTGATCTTAAATGGCGTGCATAAAGTCTTCAGTTTGGTCGAGTTCAATTGTAGCGGGGTACCGTCCATGTAGTTCTTTGAATTTCCATTTCTGCATCTTATCTTCAACAGTGCTTATTTCTAGCAATGATTGATAGTCTTCATCCGCCATATTAAAAGACGGAAGTTTCTTATCTGCATTCACGATGTTCTGGTGGTACGTGGATGTTGTCCCTTTTTCGTAAAAGAACCTTCTCAATTCGTCAACTCGTTCTTGGTGGGCATCTTGGAGTCATATAAGTCTAGTACGCCTCTTCCTCCTTTCTTTCTTGGTAGATAGAATCTTTCTATGGAGCTTTTGGGGTGCCTGGCTCTATTTTTTGTGAATTGTACTCAAATATCATGGTTCATGTTTAATTAATTAATTAACCCGAAGCTGTATGTATCTATGGTCAATTGCTCTTTGTAGCCTCGGCTGCCTCTTCTGCACCCAGAAAGGCCGGGATTTCATCAGCCTGATTCATGATGGATGTTAATCGGATTGCTAGGGATCGTGGGGATAGCATCGTGTAGTCCATTAATTTTTTTCTGCCAGTAATTATGGATTCCATCTGGGTCCGGAGCATTCCAATTCTGAGAGTTGTACAGTGCGTCCTTCACGTCGTTTTCTGTCACAGTGTTGTATATCATTGTGGGAACTCTGTCCAACAACCTCTTTTCTTCGGAAAGCCATTTTGCTTGTTAGTTATGGATCTTTGAGTTTTTCCAAATATTGGCCCAGTAATCGATGCTTTCGTCTTGTTCTGCCAGTTCCCCTTCCTCATTTTACTGTGCCTGTTCCAGATTTCTGTAGAATTTCTTTTGATTATTCTGGAAGGCATTGTTTTGTTGTTTTCTAAGGTATGATTTCTTATACCTTCTCAGTCTGTTCGAGTAGACGGTCAGTTTTCAGAATTTCAAACACCTTGTGAGTTAACTTGTTCGTTGGTTTTTTGGTTCGAGTGTACTGTTATTATTATTGTTATTATCTTTATTATTATTATTAGTTGAATTCTTGAGTGGCCATTTTTTTCAGTAATCACAAATGTTGCTTCGATTTACATAAAAACTCAGTTTCGGTTAGCATTTACGGACCGGACCGTAAACGCAAAACCATCTGCCTCCAAGTCAACACCCTGACGACCCAGATTGAAAACGCCCGACTTAATACAAATTGTCTACTTACGCTGATAAGTTGTCCATCGGGTAGATCTCCATTGGCGGAATCTGGCGGTGGGGGCGGCTGCGGCGGCACAAATATCCTTTTGGTAATTAAGCCCCTACCCTGGGGAGCCGGCAGAGATCGTGCTAAGTGAGTTAGATCCACTTGCCCGGATACGGACCGACACTGATTCGCCAAGCTCTCGTAGCGCCTGGTTTGCTCCACGGCCTGAAAAGATAACGATTCCCCGTCAAATTGCGTTCCAGAAGTCTGAGAATCAGAGAGTCGGAGATTTTCTTTATTTTATTTTTACCCCAAGAATTGGCACAGAAGGTATTCAAAATATAAAAGGTGTCCTCAATTCCGGAACTTAATTAACAAGAAAAAGCAATTTACGTGAATTTGTGGTTATTAATAATTAAATATAAGTTGTTTGAGGCCAGATAGATGCTAAGCTCTTGCCTAGCATACTGGTTTGTTGTTGCTAAGGAGCGCTGATGGCCAACGCTTTCCGGGTATATCAGTAAGCTTCTCTCTCTATGGTAGGTAATATTTATCATCAAGAGAGAGGCCTAATAAAATGTGGATCATTGATGTTGAGTGAGAACAAAGAAATATTAATTACCAAACTAAAAGAAAAACTGGGCAATCGAGAAGGAAAGGGCAATAAACTAGAGTAAATGATTCACTTTTAGACGTAACGTTCAATGGCGGATTTATCAACATTTAAGGGACTAAAATTAATTACAATTGCAGCAGTAGTTTCTTGAGCTGGGGCGAAAAATTGTCAATAAATTTCGAAAGGCGACGGGGCGTAATAGTCGGGAAATGGGTCCAACAATTCAAATAAACGACTTTCCGTCCTAGAAACCCAAAGACTTACGCTGACCGATTTATTATGTTTATAGTGGACCAGAATTTGCCTTGTTTAGTTCTTGGAGCTATATTTCACACTTCATTAGGCCCGTTTGTATTTATTGTGGGGTTAAATAGGATGCTAAATTAAATAGGGGAGAAAGTAAAATAATAATAGAGTGAAAAGGATGATAAAAGTTACGTTACCATTATATCAATTTTGGACTCACATATAGTGTAAACGCAATGTCCCTTACACGTGGAAAAACCCTGGAGAAGTTAGTACAGTATGAGTATGAGAATTTTTTATATGCGCGATTGCTTCTGCATGTGTGATAACCTAAAAGTTTATTTTGTCAGCAGTCACGTGGTTAATGTCATGGTGGAAAATTTGACATGAAAGTGTGACTAGATTAAAAATATAGAAAAAATTGTTTGCAATGACATTTTGGAGCTGTATATGAACAAAACGTTATGGGAAATAAGGTATATATAAAACTAATGGTTGGAATATAATATATAAACTAATGATAATAAAACGTTTTAATTTTCGTCCATTACTCACTGGTGACCACAACCATCCCTGTATATAGAATACAAAAATTTACTGGAAAGCCCTGTATATAATGAAGCCAAAAATATAACGGTGTTCCAAACGAAAATTATCTTTGATAAATTCCCACTTTTACAAATAAAAAAATGAAATTCCAAACTAACCAATATTATTCCAATAAAGTTTTCTTTCAATACCCGTTATATTTTTTGAACATTCAAAATGTTAGATCATACTCTTCTTCCATTTATCGAGCGTTTTCACAGTAGAATCAAGAAAATAGACGAAAAATTGGATTTCCTGGAAGAATTTTAATCGGAAAAATCGACTGCTGTCTGAACGGCAATTAATGGGGCAGATTTAATGGTTTATAAATACCAAATCGTTTTAGTGCTTGGACTAATTGTCATTTGAATGGACAGGAGGAGGATTTCGTTTACCGCCCACTAATCGATTACTTCGTCACTAAAATTGAAATTTATCTTGGATAATTTTTTAAAGGAAGGTGTGCGACGAATTGTGTCCCAACAAAGCTGCAAAATAAAATGACGCCATCTCGAATTACCCATTAGAATATCCTGCATAATACATATTTTGACATAGGTACCACAAGTCATTCCGAATGTTCAAATTGCGGTAATTATTAAACTTACCCTAGACGACACTACTTCTGCACCCTGTATAACCGCATCAGTCACTGTTGAACACAAATCTGTATATATCTCTTCTAGTTCCTGAAAAAAAAAAATAAACTAATTAAATTTGTTTTTAAAACTTAAGTTAGATATGCAAAACTGAAACAACTTTGTCTACATCTTAAGATGTCTTCATAAATTTTTCGATGATCACATAGTATATTACAGAGATTGAAAATCATGCCGAATGTTTCAACGATTAAGAAGTCCGACCGAATTTTCATAACGACGGTATAAAAATAATTTATTTTGAATAGCTTTTCCAGAGGCAACCCAAGAAATTCATTTACTCCTGCATAATCAAAATTCGTGAACTCCTTCTCTTCCGAACAATTATTATAAATAATAGTTTCACTGGTCAATGCAGATGAAACTTTTGAATTAAAATATTATATTGAAAACAAGATAAACAATATTTCACAGGCTACTCTAATATTATTTACAAAACTTCTGCATTCCTCCTGCGTCTTTTTTTGCTGAGTCGAACTTGCTGACGTTTCCCCAATCATCCTATTGGCTTCTTCAGAGCTTGACTGAAACTGGCTAGCTCTGTACCTGTTTATATATTGTTTGAGGGGGCGGAGCTAAATGAGGGGCATAAACACCGTCTCGGATAACTGATTCCCATATTGGTGACAGGTAGAGACCTGACGATGTTAAGATTGGCGAAACATCAGCAAGTTCGACTCAGCAAAAACCGACGCAGGAGGAAATTCAGAAGTTTTGTAAAAAATAAAAAAAGATAAATAATATTAGAGTTTCGGAAGTTATGAATAATCCAAACTGATTTATTCCAGTAGACTTTTCATAGCATCTGACATTTGTTCCAACGGATACAAACTTTGTTTGCCAGGAAAGTTTTCCTTAACATCGTTCTTTGAATAACTTTTTTATGGTGGGGAGTTAATTTTACTGGTTTCATGTGACTTTCGTTTCCATGATTGGAAAATTTCCAGAGAGCCGAGTGAAATTATGTCAGTTTAGCGTTCTTGTCATTCTCTTCGGCTTTCTGCTTTTCTACTTCAGTCCTCGACTTGGTTGTCTGCCAGTACTTGTTCTACCGCCTCCATCCATGTTATTCTAGGTTTCCATTTTTCCTTCTTGCGTTAAAGAAATTTCCATGCTACTGTTATTAGTGCCACACTTAAAATTAATTAAAATTAATGCGCTGAAAGTTTCCTTTTCAAATTATAGTCAAAGTCAGATCGTTATAACGTCGTGTCGACGACGAACCACCACGTTTATATAAACTAAAACTATAAGCTGGCTGGTATTTACCAAGCATCCGAAACATGGTTGGGTATTATAATGCTTTCGGCGCAACTTGTTTGAGCGGTACATTTTAAACCCCCGTCGAAGTTTTGATTATTTTTCGAAAAAATTCCAACACGCGAGTCGGCATTTTGTCCGCCAATGTTACGAAAATACTCGCTAATTGAAATGCTTTGTAGAACTCTCGATTCCATCCGAGGAATAATCGAAAAACCTTGATAGATGGTTATTTGTGTTTCGTCTGTTCGGTCCGCGTGACTAACCGGTTGAAACTTTTGCACTTAACGAGTTTCGTACGTGATTGATTGTATTAACTTTCACTTTTGTATCCAATCAGCCGGCGGGATAAATTTTTTTGAAAATTAACAGACAGGTAAACTCTCCGTAGTCGTTAAATTGACTCTGATCATTTTTTTCATAGGAACTTCTACAGGCTACTGAAATACTTTTTACAAAACTTCTGGACTCCTCCTGCGTCTTTTTTTGCTCAGTCGAACTTGCTGACGTTTCCCCAATCATCCTATTGGCTTCTTCAGAGCTTGACTGAAACTGGCTAGCATTTTACTCCGTACCTGCTTATACTTTGTTTGAGGGAGGCGGAGCTAAATCAGGGGCATAAACACCGTCTCGGATTTATCAATTCTTCTACCAATGAAAAATCCGAGAGTCTATAGAAATCTATAAACAACCTAACAATCTTAACATCGTAAGGTACCTGTCACCGATAATCATCCTGTTGGCTGCTTCAGAGCTTGACTGAAACTGATGATTGACAAAACATCAGGGTCCGACTCAGAAAAAACCGACGCAGGAGGAATCCAGAAGTTTTGTAAACAGTATGACTCTGATTATGTTTCCAGTGGCAATGGAGTCTAGGACCGAGTGGTTATTATAATATAAAATAAAATATGATTAAAATATATTTATAAAATAAACCCCAGGTGGGTATAGAAAAGAAAGTGGCGAAGTTCAAATTTTCTAGATTTTAATTGGTAACAGTAAAATGTTCAAAACCTAATATATTTTTACAGAAAGAATTGATCAATCTCAACGTTTTTTCCAATCCTGGAAGCACTTCTGGTAAGCACTTTTTTGTATAGCGTTGAGTTTTTCTACAAAAATTTTGTTTATATCCTTTCATGGGTTTCTGGAGTTATGGTTAGTTATTCCTTTTGTTCAAAATTAAGCAATTTCGTAACAAATTTTGCTGCTATACGTTTCATGCCCAAAACTTCGGAAAAAATTGCATGGCACGAACCTATAGAGATGCCGGCGTCTTCAGCCACTTCTCTAATAGTGATATGACGATTTTTCAACACCTTTTGCTTCACTTCTTCAACGCTTTCATCAGTTATTGACGTGCTGGGGCGTCCAGAGCGAGATTCGTCATCGCCGTCTTCTCGGCCATCTTGGGACAGCTTCTACCACTGTGTTTTGCAGCACTGTATTCCATTTTTGCACAAAATTTTATGCAAATTCTTTGTTCCGATTTTTTGAGAGCACAAAATCACCGTGCACTCAAACTAAACTAACCAAAACACGTCTAAGGCTTCTGTCTCACAAAAAAAAGTATACTGCAAACTGGCTGAAACTGTGAACATATGTTAGGGACATGTGTACCAATATAACAAAAGAAAATATCGAATTTACGTAGTTGCCTTACTTTTTGAACACACCTCTTATACACTATTATAAAGCAGATCTAAAGCCATCCTTTAAGTCTTTCTTGCAAGTCTTAATGCTGTGGGGAACAGAGTTGAATATTTTACTATATGATGAACATAAAATGTGGCAACCGACCCAGTCTTACCCATCATATCCCATACATATTCAAGAGGCTTTAGCTGGAATTGATTGAGAAATTGGTTTGGCAGTGACTTAAGCTTTGAAAACGTAACAGTTTGTAACGCGTTATTAATATTATTGAGAGTTCATGATTCCTTCTAAAAGAACTAGAGTTTGCCTGAATAACGTTCTTTGTAATCGCAGACTCCCGCTCCACGCAAACACCAATTCAAGATTCTTCTACCACCGTCCAGCGCGCAAACACCAACTTTCTCATTCCAGTGAGCCCAATCTTGACACCATATAGGCTCTAATCCTTCAATAAATCGATCCCATGGATATCTGCATCTTCCTTCCGATTGTGCTGAATATACTGAACCCCAATGATACTAGGACGCGTTTGGTAATGCGTATTCTGTCAAACATTCTACCCTCTTCTACTCCAAAGGCGTTTATTCACATATTTTTAAAATGTTATTTAAGTGTATACCTGCTTTGCTAACCTTTACAACTGAATATTGAAATTCATTATTTGAAAATGTCAGGTCTACCTGATGTAACGGTATATTTCCATTTGGTGGCAAATTATCTGGGCTCTGAGTTTTCCTCCCTGAAATACTTAGCCGTAGAGAAGAAAATGCGGCTTGAAAAACAAAACACGCTATTGAATTGGGGAGCGAAAATAAACCGCCTAGGAAATTTGAAAAAGCATTTTCCTCTCTCGGAAGCTGCCGAGGCGAAGCGAGCATCGATATCTAACGAGATATCCGCTTAAGTTATAATGGAAATTGGGAGCTCCTGGGAGTAGTAAACGGATGAGATGGCAAAGTTACGTGATGTTTACTTAAATCAACCCCGACAAACCGAGATTTAATAGATGCGGTTCCCTTACACCGATATATGCGACGCAAACTTTTGGTCTATTGTTTGAAACCGTCATCGTCAAGGAGTCGGATGAGGTCGATGAGACTTCCGAGAAATCTGTTGAGGATAATTTAGAGCCACGAAAGTCGACATTTATTTATTTAAATGAATTTTAAAGCATTTTTAAGTAATTTTTTTTTTCAATAAGTGCTGTAGAAGACGTGGATGGCTTTTCAAAACACCCTATTTCTTCAATTGGTATGATGGGAATTGGGAATGTATGTGCAGCTGGTCAATAATCAACAACTTATTAAACAAGATTGCTTTCGAAAAATCGTCACTGGCCGGGGCAAGTTAGTTTTGGTTAGTAGCGCGGAGCAGCGTTTTATTATAATAGGGAAGAACTTCGCGGTTTCGTCTGGTAAAGGGAAGCATTGTTTTTCTATTGTGCTCCTGAGGACCACTATGAAATGATTTAATTTAATTGTGCATGCACCCTGTATAAAATGTAATTCACATCTCGTTGAACTTCAAAGTTACAGCAAACATCGGTAAATATTAAAATTTGCACAAATAATAACGTTGCCGAATGATATTTTTGCAAATATCTCGCGCCCTGATGACACCTGAAACTCTCTCACAACACGGTTTACGATATTGTTCAAATAAAATTATCCCATCTTTAACGGGTTTTCATTTATCGCCAATAATTTACCCACAAAAACGGAAATTTTTAGCTCATAAATGACACACTGTATATGTAGTAATAATAAAAACCCTGTATATAATCGAAAAAATGCCCGAAATAAATGTTATTCCACTGCATCTTCTGCGTCTACCGGTTAAAGAATTTTGCCAATTGGATTAACGATTATGGATGGACATTTTTCTGGAAGCTAAATTTACCAAAAAAAAAAAAAAAAAAATTCAAACATTTTAAAAAAATCTTGGTAAAATTTGATTGCGCTCAATTTCTACCGTTTAAATGTGGACACGGACTTTTACTTCTCTGCTAAATTTGAGTTGACATCTGCAAATTTAGGGGATTTAATACATTTCTCATTTTGTACGGAATATCGGGAACGCCCTGTACAATAGGTGAAAACTTTAAATGCAAAAGTCTTGCTGTTTATGAGAAAGTGAGATCTGAATTATAGCCTTTCAGTTATAACCAAGTTTCAATAAGAAGGGGACCCATTTTTCAGATTTTTTGAATTTGCCGCGCACCCTGAATATTTTTAAAAAATTGTCAAGAATAAAATTTTATAGAGCAGTATCTTCTGCTTCTTCAGGTTCAAGAATTTTGTTGGTCTCGTAAATAGTTTTCGATTGCTTCAAATTTCGGACACTTATCGTGTTTCACAGCAAGGTCCAAAAAACAGTTGAAAACCGCGAAAAAAAGATGGATACCGGCGACGGATCGGGGTCATTTCTTATAAGCTTATGTGCTTCGTGGAGGGTTCAAAAGGAGGGAAATTTGAATTTTATGGCTCTAACTGCTCGAAAGTTATTCAGGAAAAACCAAAAGACGAGAACGGAGAACGAACGAAGAGACAAAAAAAATTTTTTTTCGACGGTGATCATTTCTGTCCCATCGGCGATCCCATTGGACCTACCGTTACCGAGATATAAAATTTTTATACGAGCGCAGATACTTTCGAAAACTTCGATTTTCGAAAGTAACAAAATTGCTTTCGCAATCTCGTCGCTACGCGAGGCGACTGCTCCGCTCTACGCGCTACGTGCCACATAGCCTACAAAGCCATGTCGTGAATTGTTGTCCTAGAGGGACGTATTGTTCTTCTATCGTGCTCCTCCGGACCACTGTGGAACTTTCGCAAAATCGATGTAATTTAATTGTGCATGCACCTCACGCGGAACTTCAAAGTTTCGGAAAATTTTCTTCAATATCAGAATTTTTCAAGGTAATTATCTCGCGTGCTAGGCGAAACTTGACACTCTCTCTTGACACAATTAACGATACTGTTCAAAGGAAATTATCCCATCTTTAACCATTTTTTCATTTATCGCCAATAATATACTCACAAAAACGGAAATTTTAGGGAACTTTTATATTTTTTGCCCATAATCGATATACCCTGTATATAATTCAAACAATATTCGATATAGAGGTTCTAGCACTGGATCTCCCACTTTTCCTGATATATGAATTTTGTCAATACGGTGAATGGTTTTCGAGAAAATAATTATTTTCAGAAAGCATGCAGCACAACGTAATAGTAAAAGACGTCATCGCGTCTAGATGGAGTGCGAGAAATAGCGATTTTCATATGGATTTTTTCCAAAAATCTTGAGTAGCGTGTGTTATAGACGAAAATCGTAAATAGAGAAATTGTAGCTCTTGCCGTGGCGTATAATACTGTTTAAACGAGTTTGATATATTCTTTGTGAACTCTGGAAAATGACAATTTTCAGGGTCTTTTACATTTTTGTCCATAATTCAAAAACCCTATACATAATCGAAAAAACGCTTGAAATGAAAGTTATAGTACTGGATTTTCCACGTCTGTAGGTTAAATAATTTTGCCGATAGGGTTAAAAGTTTTGGAGAAAATAATTTTTTTGTTGAAACCAAAAAACCCAAAAAAAAAACTAAAATTTTTAAAAAATACTTTAATAATTTAAATGTAGGTCTGGACTTCTACTTATCTGCCAAATCTGAAGTTGGTAGTTGAAAATTTAGGGCACCTATTACGTTTTTTATTATTATACGAAATATCGCTGACACCATGTACAATAGATTAAAACCTTAAATACAAAAGCTTTACCTGGTTATGCGGGCTATATTGTTATATAAAAGGAATTGACATCTTAAACATAGTCTTTTGGTTATAACCAATTTTCATTAATACGAGGACCCATTTTTCAGTTTTTTTGAATATGCGACGCACCCTGTCCATTCTTGAAAAATTTTCAAGAATAAAAGTTTTTGGAGCTGAATCTTCTGCGTCATAATTGTTTGTCAAATTTGAAGATCCCCAAGTCTCTCCCGTTGCCAAGATATGAGTTTCGTTGCCAAGCGCGTATACTTTCGAAAAAATCGATTTTATCGATTTTTGCGAAAGTAAAAATCTTGCGGTGTATAACGTGTTACGATGCGAAATAGTGCTCTCTTTGCCGTAATAAATTTTGACAACACTTTAATTTTAATGTAAATTTCTATTCCTTTTTTTAATTTTAGAAAGTGTACTTGATTCATTACCCAAGCATTTTCTATTTGGTTGGTTCTACTGAGCTTTAAATGGTCGCGAAAATATTTAATATTAATATGGTAATCTCCGTCTGATGGTGAATGTCGCAAGTCCTCACAACGATTTTGATTTTCACTGCACCTGAATAACAAAATTTTAATAATGGTGAAAAAAATTGTAGTTGCCAAAATTAAGAGACAGCAGTCTTCCAGTGCTGGATGCTTTTATGGTGTCTAAATTCATTTTAAAGAGTGAAATGAAAAATGAAATAGCAATAGCATATAAGTGATAAGCTGTGTTTTAATATAGCAAAGTCGCAGCCGATTTAAACTTCGAATGCGTGTAAAATTATTTTGATGGAGTGTATTTCAAGGCTATTTGGCAGTTCCGGATGCTTTTATGGTGGCTAAATTCTTTTGAAATGGTAAAATAGAGAATAAAATAGCATTACACGTTACTTTATATAAGTGATAAGCTAGCTGTGTTTTAACATCGCAAAGTCACAGCCCATTTAAATTTCGAATGGGTGTAAAATTATTTTGAGGGAGTGAATTTCGAAAGTATTCGGCATGTATGATCTTCCAGTCCTCGATGCTTTCATGGTGGCTAAATTTCTCTTTAAAGAGTTAAATAAAGAATAAAATACTTTACTTAAATTGCTTTATACAAGTGATAAGCTGTGCAATCTAAATCTATAAATACATATTTTTGCAAATAAAAAAAAATTATTTAAATCAACAACTCATGATTAATTTCCTACCTCGTGCAGCAAAAGAACGAACCGCGGCAAACAGCACGTAATTATTTAGTAAAAAAAAGTATTGGTGTACGATGAGAATCAGCGATGTTGGCAGCAATATCAATCCCCTGCGGCTACGGTATTGGACGGGCCCGATCGAATTGTTTTGACTGTGTAAAGCCGCTTTTGCTCTTTGACAGATTGAAAGTCTTCGATCTGTATTTAATTGCCCCCATTTGAGTGATGCAAACTCCCTGTATTTGTTTTTCGTTGGATAGCAAATACATACATCTCAAATGAAAATTGGTCTCTTTGGCTTGGGTTAATTGCAGTTTGGGGTTAATTTAGATGCTATTTATTTTGTCGAGGCAGTTTTCTAACAGCAGATCTCTCCGCACAGTGAAACATAGATTATGCTAAGCTTGGATCGCTTAGTATCATAATCTACTGGTTGTTACTTGCTTAGAGAATCGCACTTCTACTACATACTTGCTGTGTAGGTGGGGCTGTAAACTCAGTAATTTATCCTCTTCTCAGCCTTCTCGTCCACATAATTATTTGTAAAATTTAAGTACGACATAATTTGCTTGCACTTTAATGATATCTTTTGTTGTTGGTTGAAAAGTAAAGTAAGAGAAAGTTGGTTTTCTTACATGCAATGAGATACCAGTTAGTGCAAACCGCAAAATATATAGTTACCTGTAATAAAGACGGAAGAGTTTCTTTTCCGAATTCCTCCATCATTCCGTTAGTCGCGTGCAACTGTTGCACGTAAGTGTTGTGCGCATTGAAATACGCACTCAAACTGTCAGTCGTTGGATTTGCCAAATAACACAAGTACGCGTTTTTGTATTCCTGTCGACACTGAAAAATAACGGTTTGATTGTGCAGTGAAATATTAAAAATAGTTAATGGAGCAAACATATTTGCTTGTAGGCCACACGGTCACATGGTACACTAAATATATGGCAAAAAGTATCACAATAAAATGTGACTTGCGGTTTGAAATTATTTTTTCTTAAAACATGATTGACCATTTTTATATTTTTATTTTATTCTTAGATATTTTAACTGACAATGGTTTCCAGTGAATTATTATGTTTCTAATGTAAAAAATGAAAATTTAAATCAATTATTATAAATTTTTTCAAAGAAACTTCCACAAGCTACTGTAGTACTTTTTACAAAACTGGATTCCTCCTGCGCGGTTTTTGCTGAGTAGAACTTGCTAACGTTTCTTCAATCGTCCTGTTGGCTCCTTCAGAGTTTAACTGTTTCAGTCAGAAGCCAACAGGATGATTGGCAAAACGTTAGCAAGTTCGACTCAGCAAAAACCGTCGCAGGAGAAATCCAGAAGTTTTGTAAAAAATAACCTAACTTTTTTATTGTTTGGCACATAGGCAACGCACTTACCTTTACTAACTTCTCTTCGGTTTTGGCAATGATAGTCTCGTAACTCTCTCTGTGCGTAAACACCTTCCTGGATTGTATCTTCCTGTAAAAGGACCGCTCCAACATGGGACGCGATACCTGACGACCTAAAATGGAAGCTATGTCTCCCAAAGCCTGAAAGAATACTTCAAAATAATGCTACAGTTCTGTCTGTAGACAGTCATAACAATATACATTGTATTATGGATATGGATATGGAACGATTGAAACGCAGACGATGCTGATAATTTTTGAATTATTTTTTAAAAAAAGCTTATTTCAAATTATATGTTGAATCCTTTACAGTGAAACAAACAAATTTGAGCAGCGCCAGCTATGAAAAATTTTGAATTTTTGAAGTTAAATACGTATAATAATGTTTTTGACTCTTGGCAATCATTAAATTTTGACAATTTTGAAATGTGTAAAGTCTGTTCATAGATATAAAAAAGTGACTAACTGATACGAATTAAGGAAAGACCCAGGCAAGCTGTAAGAATGAAATATGGACGAACAGGTCCGTACTTTGCTTAGAAGTTACTTATTTGGGGTTTTGTTAGGAAAGATACTAAACAATATTTATTTATGTATGTATGTATTTATGTTTAAATATAAAATAAAATTACAAATTATTTTTATTACCTACTTAAATTACTTAAAATTATTCACATAATATATCAGTATCACTATCGTTATCATCGCCTGTTCTAATTATTATTTGTTCTATCTTATTTGCAATATGGATATACGATTGTTCTGCTTTTTCTATTTATTTAACAGAATTTGCCCAACTTTGTGAAGGGATGTTAAACACTTCGGTTTCTATAAGTTTTAGGGCATTGGAGTTAACACAGGGAAAAAACATTGTTACGACGAATGGCAGATTTCAGTTGGTGCCAAACATGTTCAATGGGATTAAATATACAGTGGTAAGGTGGAAGCCTTAAAACTGTATGCCCCAGATTTTTTGAATAATTATCACAGACGTATTCCTTTTGTAGGTTCAAGCTTTGTAGAACCTCAATTAATTGCTTTTTGGTATAATCTTCGTGAAAATAAATGTCGTTATTAAACATGTAGTTTTGGATTGTTGCTTTTGTGTCTCATGAGGAAGGGGTTTTAGTCAACTGTCTACTGTGATAACTTGCATTGTCCATTACAATGACGCTATTAGGAGGAATATTTGGAACTAGTTTGTTTTTAAACCAACTTTCAAATAAATCTGCGGTGGTGTCTTCATGGTAATCCCGAGAAGAATCTTTAATATTTTTCGCATACAGAAAAAGTCCATTTAGAATCCAACCATCTTTAGAGCCAGCATGCAAAATAGTTATTCTTTTACCTCTTTTTGATGGCGCGTTTGTTTTACACTTATCAGTTGAGTCAACCCAATCTTTTTCCGGGGTATCATAAGTGTCGAACCAGGTTTCATGCAAGTTAATAATTGGCCTTTGTTGTTCTCTGTAAATCCTATTTTTTCTTAGATATTCCAGTCGCCATTTCCAAATTCTAAAAGATTCCATTAAAACTTGCCTTTTGTCAATTTTTTTAAATCTAAAACCCATGTGTTGAATACACTTCCACAAGGTAGTTCTGCTACATTTAACACCGTTTAATCTTTTTCAAGCATCCTAATTAAGATATCTAATGTAGGCACGCTTTGTTCCTCGTATAACTGGCAAATTTTCACTTTTCACTTGATCATTTTGATGTTGGAATTTTCGTTTCTTCAAAAGATGCTTGCTTGCCGATGCCACGTTCAATGAGAGTCAAATAAACATTGTTTATAACTTCCTTAGTCTCAATAGAATAGTGTTTTCTACATTTGGGCGGGAGCATCTCCTGAGATACACTAGACTTGCACATATTTTGCATAATTCGCAGACGATTCAACACACGCTGTATTACACACGAAATAAGAATGATTACCAATAAACTTAAACTAAGTAGTACACCAAACCAAAGAATATTAAACACAGGTAGGTATAAAAAAAATATAATAAAAATAAAAAATTATTTTCTATTACGGATCACAGTTTTACCTGAATTTAAATTCCGAAACTTTAGGTAATAATCTTGTTGCATTGTATGTTAATGACAACCTTTGGATAATCCCATTCAAAAGGAATTGGTCACTTTCTTGTATCTATGAACAGACCATACCTATCACTAGCTGTATAGTACAGACACTTGTTGTTCCGGCAAGAGCAACGACGTACGGTATGAGGAAAATGGAGAGTGTACAAAAGGTGTAAATTAGTTCCGAATTGCTGAAACGGTCACCAGGGGGCGCGACGCCATTTGATTTACAAAATCCTGCTTTTATTAAAAAAATTTATATTATTCATAGGCAGAGTGTTTTAAAGCTGAGATACATTTTAATGTTTTAATATAAGCAAAATAAAAAATTTGATTTCTGTTTAGTGAGTTAAGGATAACTAGATATTAATGACAACCCGATATACTTCCGAAAGTTCCACTTTTTTTGAGATTATGTATGAAAACGAAATATGATGGCAAGGCAACCGGCTTACCCATAATACGATTGATAGTCTAAGAAAATCCCTTTTATAAAAATGGGTTACGCGATTTTTAACTATTCGACATTTTTTTCAGAAAATGTTTGAATACCTTTTTCCCTCTTTTCTTTAAAAGATACAGCAACCGAAAATAAATAATTTTCTATTATTTAATTTATAAAATTTAAATTTTTAGTTTTTGCACAGTACTCACTCCATCTGTCGTTAATATAAGTAAATGTTGGGGAAATGGAGTTTAAAAATCAAAATGGCAATTGACTTTTTCTCTCAGCCTATTCATTTTTTTTTTAATTTCTAGGACCACCCATTTCTGTAATACCATACCTCGTTCCCCCTTTTGGGACACCCGATATATACCAATCACGTTTCGAATATAGGCGTGATTGATTACTGCATTGAATAATCATAACCACACACGTCAACGAGCAAATGGAGAAACAAAAGATGCTCTCGACACCAAACGTTTCTAAGCTTAACTTCGATATTGTTGTTTCGCGATGTGTCGAATTTATTCAAACAAAAGGGATTATCGGCTCATAGACGAATTCATGTTATTACCGAAAATCGATTTGCGGTTTGCCTGTATACACCGATGTTCATTCTAAATCCACAAACTTGTGAATAATAGGATTCCTACAACGTCTATGTGCATATGCACAGTTGAACCAAACAGAGCACTCTACTGATGCAAAATGTTCGAGCCAATCTTTAGGCGCTTTCCATTATCTCAGTCTTTCGGCAGAGAATGTATCAGCGCAGAGTCTCGACTCGAAGGTAGTTATTAGCTATTTGATAGACAATCGAGAACAGGCAGTGAAGTTATAGTTTTTGGAAAATTGTAAAAGTTTGTGTCTCTGTTTACTTTCGAAGTTGTTATATAAGAATGCTTTCCCAAATAAAGCGAGAGATAGGTATCTTTTTTATTGTTTGTTAAAAATACGTTTAACGGCAAGCCACTTTTTAAAAGTTCTTAAAATATGAAATTGCTGCAAATTGACCATTATTGTTATTATGACTTGAATACCACCCAACGAAATTGAATTCTACAGTTGAACTGAGGTTTTACTAAATGAAAATCCATTTATCAAAATAAATAAGAACTAAAAGTTCAGATTTTCATGAAATTATATATTTTAACATGACAATTGTCATTTGGTGATTTTTCGGTATATATAGCAGCAGGTTGTTTGTAAATATTACATTTGATAAAGACACGGTGTTGTCGAAACAATTGTCATGTCCAAAAATATAATTTCGTGAAAATCTGAACTTTTAGTTCTTATTTATTTTGATAAATTCTACAGCTTTTTAAAGTTATATTTAAGAGTAATAGTAGGAGATCCCGCCCAACGATCTGTGATTTAGATTAGACTTTTTTTTTATCAAAATTTAAGTATAAAAAACTAAATACTATTTTTAATTAATTATTTAAAAACGATTTTTTTTTTTTTTTTAATATTCGAAAATATTATATATATAAAATAAGCAAATGATTGGTTGATTAAATCTTTGTTGCGCCTAGTAGAAGTCTGCCAGGTGTAAACAGGTATACTCGAATAGTAAGTTATTTTAATAAACCTTATGTCAAAATATAAATTACACAAGAATCGCTTTTTAGCACTTTTTTATTTTAATATATTTTCACCTGTTTTCTGTTTTGAAAAATGTACAGTATTTACCAGTCTATTCACGAATAAATTTCACGAATAAAAGGCATGCGCACTCATTCTCGTCCGATGGACAAACTACGCACAGATGCCATGCTCATGTTGATACGCTCCAAATGTTCAATTTTTAAAATTCGGCAACCAGGATTCGGGGCAGGTTTCGTATAGGCAACCTTATACCGGCGGATTCGAAATAAAAAAATCTCTCAAGATTTATTAAAATCACAAATCAAAAAACTTGAAATTTGAGATTACCTGTTTGCAACTGGCAGACTTCTACAAAGGGTAACGAAGAAGTAGGCAACCAATCATTTGCTTTCGAGTTGTAATAAAAAATTTTATTCACAAGTCGGTGAAGCAGTCTAAGAAAAACTGATTTTTGAATAATTTATTAATTGTTATTCAGGCCACCGATTTGTTTTTTTATACTTAAATTTTGATAAAAAAGTCTCATCTAAATCACAGATGGCTGAAGGTCGTAGTATGGTGGGACCTTAGACTATAAGAATATGTCTGGCTCTCAACAAAATCAGCAGCAATTTGCAAACACATGTGAATTATATATAGAACACAAATTAAATGTATTCTACATGTATTACGTTGTTATTCTAACATCTTTCTTCACATTTATTTTTTCATGGGGAATATTTTACCAGGATCTACTAAAAATGTAATGCTTAAGTTTAGTAGGTTCCAGGTAATATATAATAATATAAAGATAAACGTAAATTGTCCCTAAAGTTTTATAGTTATAATAATTAAAAGTTCTCAGTAGGGTAATTTTCCGTAATAATTAAAAATAAAATCAAGAGAAACTTTAATTCCGTTTCTGACTGATCTCCCTAGTTCGAGGGTGGCAGCTAGGGTTAAGCGAATCTTATAATCGTAAGACAATTGAAAGAGAATCTGACTCTTTTGTGAGTTGCCTTATAATGCTCGTTGTAGAGAAACCTTTAAAAAACACAAAATACTCACTGTAACATATTTAACATATGTTCATAAAAAAAATTGAAGTTAGCAAAGCTTTTCATAAATATACTAAAACAAATCGAAACAATTTGTGAGGCGTGAGAGTTCAAAACTTCAAAATGCACCTTAAGACGTTTTTATATGGCGGGGTCGTATCTTGCACTGTTTTTTCTCAAGTTTGTTTGAAATTGAAAATTTGTATGCTGTTCTTTCTTGACCCTTTTTTTATAACTTGATCCCTTCAATTTTTTTTAGTGCTCGGAACTAAGTAAATATCTATCTATCTAAGGGAGCAGGGGAGGGGAGTTCCTCAAGTATATGTTAGATTCGGCTGGGTTGTATTCAAGTCGTATTATACTTTTTTCAAATGTTTGGCGAATCAACTTTTACTTCGTGTAGTCCGAGAAATGTGGAATAGGAAAGTAAGTTTTGAACTCCCAAAAATTTTATGAGGCGAGATCCTTTGAAGATAACAAAAACTTTAAAGACGTTTATTACGTTTAAATAAAATGACTTTACCAGATAAAGGAAAACTAAAAAATAATTATTTCGTGCATTGTCTATATCAGAATTACAGAACTGGGCCAAGATTCCAACCACGAGGCATCATTATTTTACCAGTACTTAAATATGAAGTGCAGTCAAGCTCGAACCGCGTATTATCTAAAACAGTTCGAAAGCTGCGGGCCTTTATCTGAATAAAAAATTCACGATTTAATAAAAATACGTTCATCTTCCTTTAAAACTGCCAGTTTTCTTAGGTTTTATCGACGCATTTTGTTCTTTTCGAAACATTTATACTGGTTGCTTTAAAAAAGGTTTCGCTAATTGATAGGATAAAAACAGTTTGGTTAATAAATGTTTATTACATATGTGCATTACTTGCTAAAATCTCTTTTACGGCAAATGTTTAAAAAAATTAGAAATATAAGTGACGCTCCTGTGAAAAATATTTATTATTTAGTGTTTGTGGTCTAAATTTTATTTAGGTATCTTAAAACGTTAGAGAAATAACTAGTTTTGAAGGGGGTCGAATTTTATTTACCCTTGAAATTAGCAAATTAATTTTCTGAAAGGCTTCCTATTAACATCCAGACGGTGACATTCTTTCAGAGGAAGTGAAGACATGTTCGGACTAGATTTAGAGAGCCAAACGGCATGGAAAAGTTTTATCATAATTATTAGGTAATGTCACTAACATTTTAGAGCCATATAAAGGGTGATCCAAAAGGAAGACAGGGTTTGAAAGGCCCTCAATTTTTGTTTTTTATTATTGGCAGCATTGTTTTTGTTAGTGGATGTTGTTACTGAAAAATGCTCATTGATTTCTATGACTTAAATTGATTCAAATGAAACATTTGAAACTTTAAGATCTCCTCAAGAGTACTTCTTTTATCAAAGTAAAATCAAATCCGACCTTTTTATTGAATCACCCTTTAAAAACGTTAAAAACAATGTTTATGTCAGAATAGGTCATTCTTGTAAAAAAAAATTACCTGCGAATCAATTTCAACCTCTTGGAGCAGTGCCTCCCAACAATGAAACAACGAACTAGGACAGGCTGGTCTGAAAAGGAAACAAAATTATTGAATGTTATCGGCTGCGTGGTATAATTAACACGATTTTTTCTCTCGAAGCGCTGAAGTGTAATAAATTGAAAAGTGATTCGCATCATAAATCTTACACGCTCTGACATTTTCTCAGATTTCAATAACAAATTGTGAAACTTTTAAAAGCTGTCTACAGCGAATTTAGAAACTCTCTTTTGTTTGCTTTGGGGATTTTTTTGTTGTCGCCACAGCTTGGTTCTTGTTCGAATAAAGTTTTCTTTTTAGCGTGCCACCTATCGGTGGACATTGTAAAGTAAAAGCAACCAAGCACTAAGCACTCAGCCCAGTGCGTTTTATTATCTTGAATTATACACTCCTTAGGTAAATTGTTAATATTTATTTGCCTATTTTTCTAATGTTAAATTATCTATACAATCAAAAACAAAACAAAATAAGGAATGAACGAAATTATAGAAAATTTTAAAAATTTACGTTTTTTAAAAAAGCAGTAATAATCAAAACTAAGTTGCACTCTATTAAAATTCTCTTAAGACATTAAAGCTTATAAGATATGTTTAGATTGAACTAAGGTGGCTTTTACTTGATAAAAATCCATTTATCAAAATAAATAAGAACTAAAAGCTCAGATTTTCTCGAAATTATATATTATGACATGACAATTGTTTCGACAACACCGTGTCTTTATCAATTGTTTGATAAAGACACGGTGTTGTCGAAACAATTGTCATGTCATAATACATAATTTCGTGAAAATCTGAGCTTTTAGTTATTATTTATTTTTATATGTTTAGATATATACTATTTAAAGATTCGTTTTTGTAATCCCATTTAAATTTAACTTCTGGTTTGTGAAATTGTCTTGGTTTAAAGAAAGTTGTGATCTCTGTTTTCATGTACATTTTGAGCCATATTGCATACTTTGAAAGAGGAACTCCGCTTTTAATAGAATATAGACGAAAACTAAGTCAGTGGTAATTTCAAGTACTTTTAAATAGTTTAAAAATATACGGAATGTCCCACATAAAAAAATATTTTTCAGTGTATAACCAAGTTGCTTTAGAAAAAGTTGTAGCGCAGATTTTAAAATGGTTTTTACTTTATGTAAATCGAGCTCCAAGCAGCTTCATTAGCTGTCTATTTTCTTTAGCAAGGGGAGTTCCCTTTAAAAGTATCCGATGTGTCCAGCCCTTTTCATAAATAATGATAATATTTATAAAACGACCCCACAATTTTTTGACAAGTGATGCGAAAATTCCGTGCTGGAAGTTTTAGTGCTTGTGATTAGCTTTTTTTTAGCAAGAAATACCTGCCTAGCATAAGTTGAAGACCTTCGCAATATCCAAGGTTTCATTTAATTTATGAAGTGTTTCCAAATTAAAAGCTAGTAACTAACCAAAAGTACTATTAATGATTTGTCTAAATTGCTTCGTTTGCGAGATACAAGGTGTCATGTCTTATTTTTATATTTGCAAGATTTATTGATTTTCGTCTTTTAACATTTTATTTATTTTTTATGTTAACTACAAGAATTAATTTTACACAATCACTTGCGTCGATTACTTCTTACCAGAATAGTTCAAATTTATTCTCTTTACCGGAAACATACTACAGGGTTGTCATGTACTTTGAAAGTAGAAATAAATTAAAAGTAAATTCCAACTTCTGTTAACTCTCCATTCTTAAGAAATGTTGTTTTTGTTTGGTTGGTTTCGGTATTTATTTTATTTATTTATAACGGGTGGTTAAATTGTAAGGGCCGATGTTGAATGTGAACCACACCTAAACGCCAAGTTTTTTTCCGATATTTATTTGACATTTCTCTATTTCAGACTTACTCAATTTGAACCATGGAGAGATACACAATCCAACAACGTGTTAAAGTTATCCAGACTTATTATGAAAATGGTCGTTCAAATCAAAATGCATATCGTGCACTTCGTGATTTTTTTGGTCAATTTGATCGTCCAAATGTGCGTACAATCGCAAAAATCTGGGTCTGTAGAAGATGTGAGAACACCAGTGCATGCTCGTACAGCTCGTACTGCAGAAAATATTGTTAGTCTTCGCGATAGTGTGGCTGAAGAGCCGTCCACCTCAACTCGTCGTCGTGCCCAACAATTGCACCTCTCACGCTCGTCGTTGATAAACATTATTCATAAAGACTTGCATTTACACTCTTACAAGGTGCAATTGGCTCAAGAACTAAAGCCGCTTGACCATTCCAAACGTCGTGAATGGGCAGAATTGTGGCAAGAAATGGCAACAGTGGATGATCAATTTTCGAAGAAAATCATCTTCAGTGATGAGGCACATTTTCACCTCAGTGGATTCGTCAGTAAACAGAATTGCCGCATTTGGGCGAATGAGAATCCAAGAGTGATTGTCGAAAAACCAATGCACCCCCAAAGAGTGACTGTTTGGTGCGGTTTATGGGCTGGCGGCATCATCGGGCCGTATTTTTTCCAAAATAAGGCCGGTCAGGCAGTTACTGTGAATGGTGTTCGCTATCGTGAGATGATAACGAACTTTTTATGGCCCGAATTGGAAGATATGGATGTGGACGATATGTGGTTTCAGCAGGACGGTGCCAGTTGCCACACAGCTAACGAAACAATGGCTCTTTTGCGCAACAAATTCAATGGTCGTGTTATCTCACATAATGGCGATGTCAATTGGCCGCCAAGATCATGTGATTTGACACCGTTGGACTTTTTTCTTTGGCGTTATTTGAAAGAAAAGGTGTACGTCTATAAGCCAGCAACAATTCAAGAGCTAAAGGATGAGATAATTCGGCACATTAACGGCATAGAACCTCCATTATGCCTCAGGGTCATCGAAAATTTGGACCATCGGATGGAGGTGTGCCGCCGTGGTCGCGGCGCCCATTTGGCCGATATTTTATTCCATACATGATTGAGTAATACCAATATATCATAATAAAATAAAATTACAATAATTTCCTAAATAGTTTGTGTTTTATTCAAAATCAACATCGGCCCTTGAAATTTAACCACCCGTTATTAAACCAGTTGTTACCATTATTATTTATAATGTTTATTTGATATAAAATGCAATATACAAAGCAAGGCCCAACAATTGCGTCCTGTTCAGCAAATTTGCTTCGCGGATTGTTATTAAAACGAGTGGTAAAAATAACGAACTTTTCAGATCAGATTTTGCGTGGTCCTAAATTTTTAATTATGATCGCAAAAATTTCGAGATAAGCTATAGAGGTATTTACCATTAATCTTTCAATTATTGGTTCGTCCCTTTGGTTTAATTTCAATCTTCGTAAACCCAGTTTAATTCGTCTCAATTAAATAGTTGGATTGATGCATAAATCCGATATTTTTGAAGGAACGTTGCGTTTGCGGCCGCTTTAATGACAGAATGGGATGTTCGTACGCTGCCAGAAATTATTTTTCACGAACGGTATGAATTCATGGCTTTGGATATTCAACTTCATTGAATACTACGTAAAATTAAAGTTGCATATATTTTTAAAGACATTGGACAATAGAGGCAACGTGTAGTTCGTAAATATCGTATGTGTATCGACCAAAAACTTTCATTGAAATTCACTTGCCTGGCAACCCCGCTTACCTCCTAAATAATTGGCGAATTATTATAACGTCGCAAAGCAAGGTCGAATCAAATAAATAAATATATACAGGGTTCCCCAAACTCGATGGCCTATTTGAAAGGTATATAGAACTGAAAACATTGCTACCATATACCATATATTTGGTACATTGCTGAGTTGCCACATCTACTCTAACTTCTTTTTTATCCATGGAATGCCCTGTATACTATATAACATAAATTAACGTGTGTGAAGTCAGCGACGAATTTCCAGACACGAATTGCGTTTGCGCTAATATTTTTTATAAAAATTGATAGAAATAATACCATTAAATAACAAAATCTGATGGGATCACCCGGAAACTACGACTCACAAACGGAACCCCCTAGCTGTCGTCAGAGCTATAATAATCGCGTTTTTAGAATTTTTTAAAAATCAAAAATATATGTAAAATTTAGTGTTACACTGTAAAATTTAAAGGGGACATTTTATACGATGTTAGAAAGTTCCCTTCAAAAGCGGAACCCCCGCGTCTGCCTTCGAAAGCAACATGAACGCGTTTTTAGAATAAAGAGAAAAAGAGTGCAAATTTTTAAAAAAATCAAAAACTATGTGACAATTGGTGTTAATCGGTAAAATTTGGAACTGTCTTTGAAACCTCCCTTCAAAAGCGGACCTTCTTTTGTTGTCGCAATTTTATTGCACCTACTGTGAATATAAAATAAATTTCATAAATAGCTATTTAGAATATGAATTCGCCATATCCATATATAAATAAGATAAACTATTTGGCAAACTGCGTCGCATTGCATTGCATTGTTCTAGATTTTTGCTTTTTATTTTAAAAACAGATCTTTTATACAGGCGATTTTATTTCAAATTCACGATTAATTAAAATCAACACATTTTGGAAAACGTGTATAATTTTGCAGACATTTTGTATGCGATAACTTAAAAATCTCATTTGATAACACCATCATTATACCATCGGAAAAGCGTAAAAATTTCTAAAAAATAATTTTATCTCCAAAATGGAGCTACAACATATATTACGTAGAAAGTTCCCTAATCATTCATAGCATCTAGAAATGTAATAATATACAGGATAAAAAAAACGGAGTTGATGTCTGGTCTGGTAACAGGTGTTTTAAGAATAGAAATCATAGTCATGTACTTTTAATAGGCCATCGACTAATGGGGATTAGGAACGAATGCCAAAAAAATTGGTTCTATTAAATATTTTTTTGCGATAAGTTTTATTGTGTATTTTCTTCACAGTTATAAAATGAAACAATAAAAATTTCCCAAAACAAATTTAGTGAATAATAAAATTAAAACAACGATTTTGGAAACGAGTTCTTTCTCTACCTAGTTTGAAAAAATATTAAGAAGCTGGCACCACGGCGAATACAAAGTAATAGCTACTGTTAAAAACAGTCATTAAAAGATCAAAAATAAAAAATATCTCAATATAATAAATTTATTTTTAACGGTTACTACTATATTTTAATACACGTTTCCTGTAAATAATTGAAAATCATAATAAGTTTTTGGTAGATAATGTAACAACGAAAGGTAATTCGAAATCGTATTTTAAAGTTGTGCTTCGTATTTTTTATAATCGGATTAGGCAACCGGAGTGCAAGCAGGAACAACTCAACAACTTAAGTTGATAAAATGACGGGAAAAAGCCTGTTACTGCCCCCCAAAATATTGGTTAAAGCTTTTTCGTTCTGGCGGCAACTCCTTTAAAGAGCTTACGAGCTTTATATTCAAAAGTTTGTCGGAAAAAAGTACGTTTTTTATTCGTTTCTCTGTTAACAAAGGAACAGCAACTTTGTTGTAAAAGGGAATATCAAAAATAAAGAATTCGTTAACACCTGTGTCATATATTTGCCAATAACACCAAAGTAAGCTTGTTGTATAAAATTGAGTTTGTTTCTACTTATTAAAAAAGCAGCAAAAAAAAATTATGCATGAAATGTAATGTAATGTAATTAAACATATGCGATATTTAACTCTGAAATTGCGTGTTTTTAAAATTGATAAAAAGAAAACCTGCTTATTACATACATATTTTTTCTTTACATTTTTATAATAAATTATCCACAAAGGGTAGGAGTGCTTAGTCCGTGCCTGTGGGCGTTATTAATCGAAATGAATAAGGGTATCACGCGAAAATTCAATTATTGAATTTGTTATGAAGAGGGCAAGGTCAGCGCTTGCGACCCCTTGTGTAAATTACTATTTTTTACTGATTCCAAAAATCGTAATTAAACAATTGGACACGGGATTTTCGAATACCGATTGTTTAAATTGACGTGAATTAGTTATCAGCATATAGCCACCCCACGTTTGGTGTTAACTGGTCCGTATATTTAATTATTGAGGAAATAAAAATTAAGCGATATAATCGGCAAATAGCAGAAACCCAGAAAACCCAAATTCAAAACCAATGGGTCATAATAATACTATTAAACCAGATAATCACTTGCAACAAAAAACTGTGCTTATATGTGCTTAAATTTTATTGTTTAAAATTTGTTGTATTATTGTCAATAATTTTTTTATTACGCTATTTTTTATGTTAATTTATTTTTTGGAACCGCTACCGTCATTATTTTTTCTTGCGAACCTGATTATTTTTAAAAATTTTAACACTAAAATTAAATCGTGTGTACTGTACGGGGCGTTTGGATTCACATAGACTTTTAAAATTAACATTAAAAAAATAATAATAATATTAATTCAACAATTTTAAATTAACTTAAATAAAAAATTAATTTTTATTTCCATATATGGCGTTTATATTTTCGTGAACAAGTAACAACTTTCCTATTTTCAAAAGAGCACATGGTATATTAATTCATTTTTTAATTTCTCTGAAATTTCTAGATACTTTTTATATATAGGGTGTCTTCGGAAATTCGTATATAGGCAATTTTTTAATTATTAATTTTGGTCAAAAGTATATTTGACGGGGGGTGTCTTCAAAAATTAATAAAAGACGTTGGCTACATTTCAAAACTAACAGTCATAAAGATGTGCAAAATATGCTATAACAAGAAGTATTAAACATGATTTATCAAAACCGTTACCAAAAAGAACTACTTGTATGGTGGATAAAAATAGTATTAAATGTTCTAATTTCAATGATGTAGTCAACTTCTAATTTGACAAGTGAAACTAAATGAATCAGGGTGGAATGTGGCGACCTAGATTTTTGTCTAAAAATGATGTCTTTATCTCTATAAAGACACAGCGTTTCTGATCATATGAGAAGAAATTTACCGGATACACTGCCTTATAATTTCTTTCACAAACTTCGCGGAATAGAGGCGTAATGTCCGGTGACCTAAGCGGCCTGGGGACTTGAGAAAAGCTATCATCGCATAACAAACGGACCAGCCTGTATTTATATTTTTTATTTGTTCTTTTATGTAAATTCCGCTGACAGTACCCAATACAAGCAAGTTATGTAAAGGATATTAATACTATTATGGGTTTAACTTGGTGTTGTCTAGTCAAAGGCTCGAAGATGCTACTGCTACACATTAACCTCATATGGTGCATAAAAAGGAAATAACTTTTCATACCATAACGCTAAAAGATTCACAACTACCGTTAAATCGTGGCGAACCAGAACGCACACATTACCTTTCTTTTCGTAAGTCGTTGTTTCTTTTCCGGAAGTTTGACACCAACAGTTGCAGCTCCTCGGCGTGTTGTTCGTACATTTGTCCCAACTGCTGTGTGAAGTCAGACACTGGAACAAATAAAAGTTCGTAAGCGCAATTAAATCCAATGGAAAAAGCGAGGAACCAATAATAACCATCGTTGTAAGTTTGCGCCGATGCTTTGTTCATTGTTTTAAGCCACGAAAGTTTTTCAATGAACGCTGTAGTTGTGCCCAAATTAAAACCGATGTTTAATTAATATTGGGCCAGCGACATACGCGAAATTTTGCAATTATTGTTCTTGGTTGAAAATATTTTCATCTGAAATTGGTCTATTTTTCTAAGAAACAGCTAATTTTCTCCGTGTTTTCCCACTTTGTACACAATTACTCAATACTTTCCCTGCACCACTAGGTTTATTCATGCTTGATCAGTATAACCGGTGTGACGTAAGTTTTAAATCATTACCAATGGTCTTCACTACAACAAAGACTTTTCTGTCTTGTCCAAGTATTTATCACATCAGTTTTCCCGTTCCTTTCCGTTTCGGAGCTACTTAACTAAAAGAAACAGTCAGGGTTGGCAAAATATCAAGAGAGATGATACATTTACAATCCATCTTTTGCAGTTAGCTTGGATCTCAGTTAATGTTCGACATAGATTAGGAATTGTAGAGTCCTTCCTGCGAAATTACTGTAATTTTGTTCTCTGTTCTCTGATAAATAAAATATATAAATATGTTTTGATCTGACAGTTCCTACTGCAGATACCCCTAAATAGATGCCAGAAACTGCTTTGTCCTATGATTGTCTATATCAACGAATTGTTTCTTGATTTCGTTCCTCTTTGTCCATTTTTACTCCTTCTCATTTTTTAAAAAAATAAATTCAATTTTTTTTGCCTTATCTCGAAAACTTTGTAGGTGTACCAAATTTGATATTCATTATTGTCACAATTGTGGAAGGAATCTTAATGAACACAAAAAATCCTCATAATTTGAAACCTTGTACCTCGTCAACTTTAGTTAGTTTAAGTTAGCAATACATTAATACTCTAAAAAAATGAAACCATCGCAACTGTAAACTAAAAGGACTAATCTGTCCGTCTTCAAATCTAAACTAAATTAATTCAGAAGACTATTGCACTTATACATGGTGGCCACTTTTTCAATGGGGTCGTATGGGCAACTTTTAAACCGTTACTGTTGAAGAGGCCATTAAATGAGCTGTAAGCTGCTGAAGCTATTGAAATTAAATTATCAAAGGTGGACTAAGAAACATTTCAGTATTTCGTTACTGCCTTATTAATTGGACAACAGTTGTGGGGTTTAAAATGTGTCTCTTTGAAATTTACTTATCTTGTCTACAGGTGTGAACTGCTACAACCAACATCGAAATTCGAAAGATGCTCTGTATTAATGTTATATATTGTAAGTATAGTATTGATTATGAAAGAAGCAAAGGGGAATCTGTTTATGCAAAGAAACACACACAAAATTAATATATCAAATGTTATAGCATGTCCGTTTTAGATGGAAGTTTCTCAAACGAAAAATAGCTTTTTTTTAACTCACACTTAAGAAAATTCCAATTTTCAGATCTTATTTCTCGAAAATAGATCATCTAACCATCAATTAATTTTCTGCTTGCGTTAAAATTCTAAATTGTTATGATATTTGTGCTATGCTAGAAAATTATTATTATTGTTATTAACGCTGTTAATATTTGGTATGAAGACAACTTCTTTAAATTGTATTAATGTAAATGTATGTAAAAATTAAATGTTTCAATGATCCCGCAACATCCTCCTATATTTTGCAATTATTGATCTTTGTTGTAAATATTTTCAACATCTGACAAGCACTACAATTACTCAGGACATCTAGAACCGATAGATAGACATCTTTCTTATAGGAAAAATTTGATACAGTCATCCTGAACATGAAAAACAAAAACGGCAATAGATGTCTAATTTTGTTTCAATATTTTCTACCGCATTCACAGAAACGAAACTGCATCATCCCCCGAAATATAAGGGAAAATGTTAATGGCCCCATTGAAAAATCTGGCGGCAAATTTAAGCTAATATTTCATCCAAGAAAGGCTAATGGGTTAATCCGCTTAAATGTAGGGTGGCGGGTAAATATTGATGTCTGGGTTAATCGAGCGTATAATTAACGGCAAATCAACACCCTCGAGCCAATAAATGCAAATGAGATACAGACAAGTCGACCGTTTGTTATTATTTTATAACGACACGGCAATCTTTAGTAAAAGAGCAAGTTCCTTTTCTGGTTGTTACGGCGGAGCTAGATAATTAAACGGAAAATATTTTTCGGGCGGAAAAGAAACTCCTTTGAATCGAATTCGTCCCTTAAAATTTATATGCTCGTTTGCTACAAAGAAAAAGGGATACACGTGTCAGAAAAATAAAATAAACCGTTCTTTCAGTTTCCGTTTGTGTCCCCAAGTGAGAATGTTTCCTGTAAGAATAAAAATGAATCATTAAAATTTTAAAAGCGCGTCTTGGCATTCGGTCAAAAACAATTTGCAAAAAGCGTATTAATAATTTATTACCAACATTTCGAATGCTTGATAAGGCAAACCGTTTTACATATTAAAATGAAATGCGGAAAATAATATCGTTTTGGGGCCATTACCTAATATACGAAGTATAATTAGTATATTTTGTATATAATTTTTTTGAATTTAATAACAAATTAATTCATTAGTTTATAACGAATAGCAATGAGCGAGCTGCCAAGAGAAGTCACATAAAATGCAACTATGGGAGAGCGGGAAACACACATCTTTGAATTATTTATAGGCTGATGCAAAATGATAAAATAAGCTGAAATATAGGAGGGTTTTCATGAGATAAATGCCTCAAAATTCCGTGAAGCGGGTAGAAAGACTAAAAAAGGATGAAAGGTTGAATCGAAAAATATTTACTTTTTGCTTAAGTTGAGAGACCTTCTGAAACGAATAACAACCTATTGTTTTTTAAGCACAATTTTTTATATATAGGATGAAAGTAGAAACTAAATGGCACGGCCTATCAAATTTCAACAAAATATCAAAAAAAGCCTAAATAAATAATTTTCAGAAAAAGCAGTGGTTTATATATATTTAATTCAAACCACGAACGCCACTGGCAATTTTTTTAAAAAATATTTGACATCAAGAAATACGCCTTAATAATTACGAGGTGTGTACAAAATTTCAAGACAATATGTATGGAGATACGAAAATTAAGATATATAACCTTTCAAAGAAATTTCCATAGGCTACCGTAATACTTTTTACAAAACTACTGGATTTCTGCTGAGTCGAACTCGCTAACGTTTCGCCAACCATCCTGTTGGCTTCTTCAGAGGTTGACTGAAACTGAAACTGAAACAGTTCCAGTCAAGCTGAAACTGAAACTGAAACAGTTTCGGTCAAGCTCTGAAGAAGCCAACAGGATGATTGGCGAAACTCAGCAAAAACCAACGCAGGAGGATTCCAGAATTTTTGTAAAAAGTAAGATATGTAACTTTAGTACCTCAAGTTTTCTTCTTAAAATACATACTAGAGACAATTGGAAAGTTTACAACAAGACATTTTTTCTCTTTTTTTTTTTTAATTTTTCTACATAGTCTCTACATTTTTCCCAGCGATACTCCCATCTCTCTAACCCGTCCAAATAGTACCCAGCGTTTTTCTCAGCAAAATAATTGTTGACTACGGTGATTGCCTCTTCATTTGGCCAAAAACCTTCCTTCCCTTCCTTCGAGCGCAGTTTACAGATGAGGGAACAAAAGGAAGTCTAGGGGCTAGATCTGGTGAGTAAGGCTTTTTCTGTCCTCAGCTTGACAAGTGATGATGCCTAGTATACTCCTGTAATGGTTTTTCCTTTTTGAAAGTCTTCGATTAAGATGACCCATGGCTATCCCAAAAAACAGCCGCAATCACTTTCCATGCCGAAAAAACAGTTTTGCGTTTTTCGGAGTCGGTTCCCCATACGCAGTCCAATGTCTTGACTGTATTCGAACGTATACTGGTGTATTCAAATTTCATCTATAGTAGCTAATCAGCACCAACACTCGGATCTATTGCACCTAAACTGCGCTAACAGAGAGTTGGAAACGTTCATTCCAACAAGTTCTTGATTTATAATATGACAAACAACCTTAGCTATCTCTCTCACATTAATTCGACGGTTTTTTAATGAACTTTAGCAGTATTGTAGTCGGTAGTTACAGTTTTTGGAGGTTCCTAAATTTCATCATCTCCTAAGGTCTTGCGGCCACGTTTAAATTCAGCTGCTCAAACTTTCACTGTTGTAAATGAGGCTGCAGAGCCCCCATACACACACTCCAACTAAATTTTACCTTGCGTAGGCCTTTCAAAAATAAAGATTTTATAACAGATCTTTACTCAATCCTTTCCATTTTCACGAAGACACTCAGATCGACTCACACAAACGACTCTCAACTAAAATCCACCTTCCTAAAATGGCTGAGACTTTGGTAACTATTACGAGGTGCACAATTAGCTTTTAGTAACTAGTTCCACCATCTTCAGGGTGAGGACGTAAACTTTTCAAGTGTCCCTCGTATATCTTCAACCAATTATTAAATGCCTTGCAAGCATAAGGCTGCTTATAATTTTTAAAAAACGGAGCGAATAGGTAATATTACAGTTCTACTGAAAACAACAGTTATGTAATATTTTTTCAATTAGATTAGAAAATTGTTTCTAAATGTAGAATCAAACTTTGTAAGCGTTGAAATTGGCAACTTGTTGCGGATACTTCGTTCTATTCAACACACCAAAACACGTTCTCTGGCAGGTCGCGTGTTTTGCTTTTTTTCACTTTCCGGTTGATCGTGGAAAACATTCGCATTCGCAGCGGGATCAGTAATCTTTGCGAAATTGCAAAATTCATACATATATCAAAAGATTGGCTTGTTTTCGAAAGTTAATTCGTACGTCTATTTTGTAAAATTTATAGCTTTATTTGTTCCTATGAAATAATAATTAGAGCTAGCGCGGAACATAAATAAAACTGTGCAAGGTGTAGATAAAAGATCTCTTCTAATATGTAC